GGTACCTGACACTTCATCTTTATGGAAACAAAAATTCAGCTTCCGAAGACCAGGGCCTCTCCCTGTCCCAGCTCTAAGCTCTGATCTCATGTGCCTCTAAACCTCTTGTCCCAAAGCCCCAGTCTCTCTTCTCGTACTCATCCTGTCCCCTCTTTTCCTTGCTCCATAACTGCTTCTGCTAAGATATCCCTGAACTGTCCCACAGTCCACAGGCATGTGGACCCACCTGCTACAACCTTCCTCGCTTGTAACCTCACAGAGGGAGAGATGTTCAGCCCCCTAGGTCTAAGATCAGGCCGCCCAAGAAGACACGCCCTTGGTGCCCTCAGCATTCTTTTTTTTTTCTTTTTTTAAAATTTAAATTAGAAACAAGCTTGTTTTACATGTCAATCCCAGTTTCCTCTCCCTCCCCTCCTCCCCTTACCCCCACCAGCCCCCTATCCCAGCCCCTTTCTGCTCCCCAGGGAAGGTGAGGCCTTCCATGAGGGATCTTCAAAGTCTGTCATATCTTTTGGAGCAGGGCCTAGCCCCCTCCACCCCCGTGTGTCTAGGCTGGGAGAGTATCCCTCTATGTGCAGTGGTCTCCCAAAGTCCATTCATGTACTAGGGATAAATATTGATCCACTACCAGAGGCCCCATAGGTTAACCAGACCTCCAAACTGACATCCTCGTTCAGGGAGTCTGGAACAGTCCTATGCTGCTTTCCCAGCTATCAGTCTGGGGTCCATGAACAACCACTTGTTCAGGTCAGCTATTTCTGTGGGTTTCTCCAGCCTGGTCTTGACCCTTTTGCTCATCACTCCTCCCTCTCTGCAGCTGGATTCCAGCTGTGGGTGTCTGCTTCTGCTTCCACCAGCTAGTCCTCAGTCTTCTTAAACAAGCCCCTTTTCTGGGCCTGTTTCTTTCTGTGTGGAAGGAAGATGGACTGCCTGATCCTCAACTGCCTTGCCACTTTGATGGTCTATGATCCTGTTATCTGTTCACACCCTGCTAAAAAAGCTACTGTCCCATTAAACAGAGTTGATTTGCACATTGTATTTACGAACCCTTACTGAAACATATATATACTACCAAGACCCAATCCCCACTTAGTCCCAAGAAACAATTCTCAGAGAGCTTGCCTGGGAAAGCAAAAGGTGGGGTCTGTTTGGAGAGGCCAGAAGCTCCCCTCTCTATACCTTCTCATGCCTCTGTTCCCAAGCACATGAGAGTCCAGAATGGGACACTTGCCTTGATTTTAGCCAAGCAACCTGGCAGCCCAGGTCAGCTCATCTGTAGGAACTAGAAAAGGTTAGGGACCAGACAGCCATGGCAGCAGTAGGGAAGGAACAGTGAGCAGGTGAAGGGGATTTCTGAAACCTGATGCTACCATGCAAATGAGGTCAACCCAGCATGCAAATGGACAAAGTCAAGTTGGATGGTCAGGGTGGGAGGCCAACAGCCTGGGTCTGAAGCCTCTGAAGGAGATGGGGACTTCCTCTGGAGAAAGCATGACTGCCTGGGGAGGCTACATTAGGGGTAGAGGCCCCCTATATGCCCACACAGCAGGGGTGGGGATTAAGGTTGGATGCCCTGCTGTCAGGTCAGCTCTGATGGATCACCACTGATGGTGGAACACAAAGACTCCTCTGTGCCTGGCACCAATGTGTTCCCGTCCATCAGAGGGCAGCTCGTGGGGTGCTGGAGTATGCAGGGGAGAAAGACCAGGCATGTCTCACAAATTGATGAGAGAACAAGGTGTCTAGAGGGTCAGTAACCCCACCCCCTGCATTGGGATTTTGAAAAATCAGAGAAACCTGAGTGACTCCACCACTTCAATCCCAAGAGCATCTTTGAGATTGTGGGTTGCCCCACAGTGGGGCCTGGCATGCTTCAGACCACCTTATTCAGACATGCACAAAGACATCTATCTATAGACAAGGTTTCACAGGGACCCAGACACACCACTACCCCCCACCCAAACATTCAAATCCAGTGGTGCTTCCTGCAGACCAGAGCTGTGTCTAGTAACAGCCCTCATCCCCACTCAAGGACCAACACGGAGTAGGTTGAACAAAGAAAGGAGAGTCCACTTCTCCTCTGGGTTATGCTTGTCCTTTTCCCAGCCTTCTCTTTTGTCACCCAGCACAGCACTTTCTATCATGGAAAGGTGACTGTGGGTACACAATTATCACTCAGCTGTGAGCACAGGGTGGCAGATAAATGACTTCCTATTCGTGTCTCCTGGCACCCAAGGCTCAGTGCAGTTTCCTGATTGGAAGAATTGTGAGGAGGGAAGCTCCCTCCTCCAGTCCTTATTCTGTGGTCCATATGGTTAAAGCAGACACCTAACTGAGGAGCATGAGGATAAGAGCAAGTGAGGGCCCAGAAACAGAGAGATGATAAGGCACTGAGTAAGTCTTCTATTCACTGGGTGTTTCCATGTGTTTGACACACACACACACACAACACACACACACACCTACTGCCAGCTTGAAGCGTGTTTTCCCAAATCAAATCCACCCTCCTGCCCAAGCCAATGGTTCAGACCTTTACTGTCTCACTCCTGAATTACTGTCATGGGGTTTGGGGATAATGTGGTTTCCTTGTCTGTTTCCAAGTCCCTCCACGCCCAGTTGGGCCTCTTGCATTTATAGACTTGTTTTCAGCCACACCCCCTCACCAGAACCCTGAGATCCACACAAACTGATCCATCTTCTCACCTCTTCATGTCCTCATTCTGCTGGTTCCCCAAGACCTGATCCAGCACCTGTCCCTGCCCCAGCCCTCCACAGAGACTTAGCCTTCAGTGACTTTGCTATTTGTTTGCAAGTGATCCATGTTGTCCTTGTTTGGTTTTGTTTTTGTTTTTGTATGAGACAGTCCTCCAACTAGCCCAGACTAGCTTAGAATTGGCAGTCCTCCTGCCTTGGGCTCTCCCAGTATGGAATTAAAGGTGTGTGCCACCATGGCCACCCATCTCATTGGCTGTGGCATTAACAGCTTTGTAATGGAGCACAGCAGCAGGGTCCAGGTTCACCTACTAGGCAGCAGGGTTCTGCGAGCCATCTTAGAACAAGTCCTTTCTGCTCCCACTCCAGAGGAAGAAGACAGATTGTTTAGGGTAAGTCAGATTGGGTCCCACAAGGACAAAAGGTACCATTTTTAGGTTTCCATGGCAGCCGTGACCCACACACACACACACACACACACACACACACACACGCACACACCCTTTTTTTTTCAGGGCTCACAGGACTGGAGTATAAGCTGAAGCAAGGTAAATTGTTTGTTTTTTCTTTTTGAGGGGGTGGGAAGCATGCTAAATGAAGAGATTATTGTCGGGCCAGGCTTAGAACTCACACACTGTGCTACACTTTGTAGCCTATGAATGAAGTCAAGAAATGAATTAAGGCCTCTCGCTGTCCCAATTTACTGGGGGCTTTTTTATTGTCCAGATTGTTCCCTTCCCATTTGTCCTCTCCCTCAAAGGACAGCGGCATTTTCTTGGCTCTCTCTAAGGCTTCAGGGAGGACAGAAAGCTAGTCCTCCAAACCCCGCACAGCTCTTCCCTCCACTATGACGTGAGTCCTCCCCGAGTCCTCCCCACCAGCACACTCTACTTCCCCTTACTGTCCCGACGGTCATCATAACGCATCCACCTCCTGCTCCACTACAAAGGGGACAGCAGGGTGGTTCACACTTTGTATGCAGGGTCCTGGGGGAAACCCTGACCCATGGGTTAGCTTTTGAGTTCCTATTAGAATAGGTTATCTTGTGACATCCACAGGAAGGGGATTTGGGAATCAGAGGTGGGGTGAAAAAGGTGGCCAGGGGCCTGCAGCCTGCCCTTAGAACTGTCCTCCCTGGCCACCAAAGCCTCTACTGAGGTAACCACTGACAGATGCATCTGGAGATTAAATGGAACACCCCACACGTACACCTGTCATTCTAGACTTGTATGATGCATGCAGAGGTGATGACTCGGGCAGAAGAACCCAGGCTGGTGGCCCAGGAAAGACACAAACAATATAAAGGGCTATTCTCCTCACCACCCCAACTACAGAGAGGAGTCAAGATGAGGGCAGAAGACACCATTGAGGGGAAAGCGTGGAGAGACGATTGACAGTGACCGAGGAGGGAGACAGAAGGCTGACTAGCTCTTAACTGGCGGGGGAGATGGCAATGTAGAGGCTGTGAGTTCTAATCCTCACTCAACACTGACTTGCCCTCTTACTTAAGAACACCCCTTATTTAAGAAGTCCTCAAGTTCTCTTGTCTCAATCTATGCCCAACTACACAAGACCTAAGAGGACACCTAAGGTCAAACCTGCTGTGGAAACTCAGAAGTTGAATCCATTTGCCCTTCTGAGTTTCTGTCTTTTGCCTCCGTGGACCCTAGGAATTCACACACACATACACACGCCCCAAATTTGGAGTGGTCCTGCCGTGGTGGTAGGTCGTTAGGGGGGTCTCATAGGATGATGCAGTATGGTTTACAGTGCTCCCAAGCAGCACAGAGAAGGTTAGATGGGCTCTGGAGGCCCCTTCTAGCCCAAAGCAACCCTTGTCTTGTGTTCTCCTGCCCTGTCCACCAGCTGCCTTGGACCATAGAGGAGAGCAGGCAGGCGGCCCGGATAGGAGTAATTGAAAGGAGCAGATGAGAGCGGGAATGCATCCACCCCCACCTTCCCTGCCCCACAGGGGCTGTGGAGAAATGAAAACTAATCAAATTACAGCCGACGGCCTCCCGACCCGTGCACAGGAGCCGCCTGGGCCAGGGGCAGGCTGGCAGGGTGGGGTGGGGGCAAAAGGAGAGGGAAGGGGAATCACATGTAATCCACTGTAAACGTCTTGATGTGCAGCAACAGCTTAGAGGGGGGCTCAGGTTTCTGTGGCGTTGGCTATATTTATCTCTGGGTCCATGCCAGCAGGGAGGGTTTAAATGGCACCCAGCAGTTGGCGTGAGGGGCTGCAGGAGCTTGGGGACCAGTGGCAGGAACAAGTCTTTTCCGACCCGATGGAGCTTTATGAGACATCCCCCTATTTCTACCAGGAGCCCCACTTCTATGATGGGGAAAACTACCTGCCTGTCCACCTCCAGGGCTTCGAGCCCCCAGGCTATGAGAGAACTGAGCTTAGCTTGAGTCCGGAAGCCCGAGGGCCCCTGGAAGAAAAGGGACTGGGGACCCCTGAGCACTGTCCAGGCCAGTGCCTGCCGTGGGCGTGTAAGGTGTGTAAGAGGAAGTCGGTGTCTGTGGACCGGCGGAGGGCAGCCACACTGAGAGAGAAGCGCAGGCTCAAGAAAGTGAACGAGGCCTTCGAGGCCCTGAAGAGGAGCACCCTGCTCAACCCCAACCAGCGACTGCCTAAGGTGGAAATCCTGCGCAGTGCCATCCAGTACATTGAGCGCCTACAGGCCTTGCTCAGCTCCCTCAACCAGGAGGAGAGAGATCTCCGCTACCGAGGCGGGGGCGGGCCCCAGCCCGTGGTAAGTGGCTGGTGCACCAGTCCTAGGGATAGGGCCAGAGGGAGGTGCCTGGTCAGCCTCGGGCCACCAGAGCTGGAACAGGTGCAAACCAAGGCCCCGGGGAATCCCAAGACCCCTTTCCTTGTCAGCTAGGCTGTCCACAGACCTTCTGTGCTCATTCTGTTTCCAGACCAGACAAAGGCAGTGGATAGTAAATACAGACGGGGCGGGGTGGACTGCACAAGAGCACAGAAGGGGCCCAGAAACAGGCCTGCAGTAAGGGCTTAGGGGAGCCCAGGGGAAGGGGAACGCTGATTTCCATGCTCCAGTCAGCACCTAAAAGGCCAGACCAAGTGGCGAAAGATATCTGCTTTGTCCCAAACCCACGACCTCCATGGCTGAGCTGACAAAACACATTACAACTGCTCCGAGGTCATCATAACAAAGTACTCTGGCTTATCACCTTACCCACAAAGTGAAGACAGATTCCCATCCTAGAAGCCAGGGAAGACCTAGAAAGTGGGGTATCTATGGCGGACATTCTAGAGTGGGTAACATACCCTGTAACCCAGGCAAAGATATATTATACCTGAGGATGGCAGTAGACTTGACCTTGGATCTTGGCCTTGTCTTACAGGTGCCCAGTGAATGCAACTCCCACAGCGCCTCCTGCAGTCCAGAGTGGGGCAGTGCACTGGAGTTCGGTCACAACCCTGGAGGTAAGTGTGAATCCTGACCTTGTTAACCATGGCTCAAATCACTTAGTCCCTAACTAGGCTGGGCTATTCCCTTACCTTATTCCATGTTCCAGTCATCTTCCTGTGGCCCCAAATGGTGAGCTGAAGGCCCTGTGCCTCCCTGTAGCCTTGATCAACTAAGGAGTAGTCACAGCCCCAACAGCATCCCAGCTGGTGTCTGGTGGCTGACCTCAGGGAGAAGTGCCTATCCCTGCCCCAGGGGTCCCTGGGAATTGCTGAGTCAGTGTTGCAAAACTGGGCCCAGTTCCCTAGGATACATTATCCTGGCTTCACCTTGGGATGGCCACTTCTAAAACCTAACTGCAATAGAGGAGTTCAGAGAGGCAGCACACAAGTACACACAAGTGGCTAGGGGGAACTCCTGACTCTTGCTCACCTATCTGTCCTGGAAAACCTGTGTCCTTGCCCAGGAAACACTCCTCTCTTCTTCTTACAGATCACCTGCTTGCAGCTGACCCTCCAGATGCCCACAGCCTGCACTCCCTCACCTCCATCGTGGACAGCATCACAGTGGAGGATATGTCTGTTGCCTTCTCAGATGAAACTCTTCCCAACTGAGATTGCCTGCCAGGCTGGGTGTCCATGTGAGCCCCCAAGGTGGTGTCAAAGGCCACCACTTCTGCCGTAGGGGCCTTTTAAGTGAGATTGTCTTGGTGCCAAAAAAAAACAAAAAACAAAATAAAAAAAAAACAAAACCCAGCCCCAGACTGCCATAGGCCAAACTACCCATTCCCCATTCATATAAGACTAACACCCAGCCCATCAAGGGAATGGATGCCCTCATTTAGCAGAGAGCATCCCCTTCCAAGGAAAGAAAGATGGGGTCCAGAGAACCCCCTTTGTGGATGTCCCCCAATGGGGCAAACTCAGGAGCTTTTTTAAAATCATAATATGCCTCTAATTCCACCCCAAATGAGAGACAGACAGCGTCCTGATCTGGACAAGCAATGCACATCTGTTCAATCTCTTCCTGATGCCAGCGGCTGGGCTGGGCCTGCCCTGAGTTGAGAGAAGGGAGAGGAGCTACCCTGTTCCAAAGTCCCTGGGGGCCAAGCTTTTGCAGTGGATATTGGGAACCTTCCAGCAGTTTGTGTATTGTTTTGTTTTGTTTTGTGTGTTGTTTGTAAAGCTGCCATCTGACCAAGGTCTCCTGTGCTGATGTTGCCAGGGACAGGCAGGGAAGGGGGTGGGGGCTCTTGGGGTGACTTCTTTTGTTAACTAAGCATTGTGTGGTTTTTGCCAATTTTTTTTGTAATCCTTTTGCTAACTTATTTGGATTTCCTTTTTTAAAAAATGAATAAAGACTGGTTGCTAGAAAAGTGTCTGCAATGATGTCTCAGGAAGGGAGGCACTGACAACACTGCACCTTCCCTTTAGGGGTCCATACACACAAGGCATGGAGGGGGGACAACTCAGGACGGATTCATGTGAATGGATACTGTGGTCCTGAGCAGGTCATTAGACACACGAGCCAGGTGATGCATGGCTGGGGAAAGACCAGCTCCTCAGAAATCCTGGGCACACCAAGGCCGGCCTACAAAGCACTCTGTTGTACTTTACTTCAGAGTCATTCACAGTCTACTATGTTCCAACTAATAGCCCAACAGGTCAACTGAGCATGCTCAGACCTAGTGCTCAGCTCACACGTACGTTAGAGGTATAGAGCTGGGTTTGCGGGGCTTTCCTCCCTCAGCTGTCTCCCCCTGTCCACCCCCCGGTCCACATGACCTCAAGCTCTACAGAAAAATAGGAGGTGACTACACAGAGCAAATGAAATCAGACACTGTCACTTCTTCATAGGACAAATAGCATGTCCCCTTACCACCCTCTGCCCTTCCCTCCAGGCACAGGGATACTCCTGTCCCCACCTACAGCTCAGAGATGAGATTGTGCTGAGGGAGCTGGGAGACAAAGAACATTCAGAGGTGAAGCTGTGGTTCTCATCATTTGGGATGCTACTTTTCCAAAGACTGGCTTCCCCAGGGGAGAAGGTGGATGGGAAACTGAGTGCAAAGACAGTGGCTAGAGATTATAGAAGGATTAGCAGAGGAGTTCCAAGAACTTAGAATGCGAATGGACCAAGAACACCGACTTCAACTTTACTAATTCCAGTTGTGTCATGGTGTTCGTCTGGTTTACTGCTGTCCTAACCATTGCAGACAGGGATTCAGTGCATGGTCCATCCAGGGACCTTTATGGGGCCCTTTGGCAACTGACTTGCGGGTGAGAAGGTAGGCCCCATCAAGGAGCCTGTTTGTCTCAAGCAATTGTTCATCCTGGTTTGTGGGATTTTCTTCTTTTTGAGTTTGTGTCATTGAATTACAGTTCCCCAGATAGCCTGAAGAGGGATATAAGTTGAGCCTTAATCTACTGTCCTTGGGATGAAGTAAGTACCTGCATCACCACACCTTACCTCTATACTCAACTTACAAAATACTCGACTATGCAACTAAAAAGGGCTCTTTTGAGATTTATGTCCTCCAGCCCAGCGGGTACCACCGCACTGCCTTCAGGTGTGATGCACCTCTATCTCTGTCTTTCTAGGCCCCTGCAAGGGTCTAGCGCTGGCCAAGAGTAAGGGCACTCAATGAATACCACGGAGCTCATGGTTTCTGGGGTTGCCAGATGTAGTGTTAAAGCCCATTCTTTTCAGTTATTTCAACTGGAAACTGAGATGCATATTCACACTCGAAGAATGGCAATGGTCACCAGGGTCAACTGACCCCTGCACTGGCAGGTGTAATCACAGCTTGCAAGTCCTCAAGTCACAATCCGCCAGTACACCACAGATGTGAATGACTAACCCTGCCACACAGGAACCCAGAACATTTTCACAAAATAAATGCTATTAAGCGTAAGGGTTTCCTTAAATTAACAAATTCTCAATCTTCACAATTAGAATTACAGATAACGCTCACGTTAATGAATAATGAGGTGGAGTTCTTTAGGGAAATTAACTTAAATTCCCTCAATCATGGCAAGTAACTACAATAAATCAAGCTGGGTTAATCAAATGCTGCCTAATAATGGACTTTAAGGAATCCACAAGAATGAAAAGACAAGAATTACTTGAAACTGGCATCCAATTGTTAGTGTGGATATAGGAACTTCCTGATGTTTGGCTAATTGTTATACATTATAGAATGCTGAAAGTGCCATCTGTGCCCTCCAGTAAACATTCTTAGGTGTCTAAGTTCCCAGAAAACTAGGTGGTTGGGGCAACTGATGTGGAAGAACGATGGTAGGAGAGAGGAGTCCCCTCAACTCAGGCATCTGTCCCATGGATGAAATGCCACCTATTATCCCCTAATATGTCATGTCCATGCTCTTTAGTTTCCTGGTTTCTAAGAGATGCCCAAGGGGTGCTAGAGCTCTGATGGGGATGTTCTTCTGTACATATGGTTCTCTTACTGGTTGATGGATAAAACACTGTTTGGCTAACAGAGGCAGGAAGATAGGCAAGAGTAGGAGACAAGGAGAATTCTGGGATAGGTAGGCAGAGAGACTGTGAGGAGATACCAGGAAGATAGGATGTGCCAGGAGTTCTCCGGTAAGATAAGACCACGTAGAAATACATAGATTAGTAGTTATGGGTTAATAATTAAGACAGAGCTAGCCAATAAGAAGCCCTAGCCATTAGCCAACAATTTTATAATTAATATAGCATCTCTGTGTATTCGTTTGGGGTTGAAGCTTCAGGACCTGGTGGGATGAGAAAACTCCAGTTACAGAGCTTCACATGAGATTGGTTAAGAAGGCCCCAGTTCAGGCCTTGATAGGAACATATACCACCACCCTTTGATGACCCTCCCCCGATGCTCTCTCAGCTATGGGTGATCACCCAGACCCAGACTCCTGGTCTCTCACTCTATTTAGAACATTTCCAGAGAGAACAAAGGAAAACAAATTCTTCCCTGTTTTCTCCAAATGCTAAAGAAACATGATGCTAAAGTTGGGCATTGGTGGTGCATGCCTTTAATCTCAGGCAGGCAGATCTCTGTATGTTCGAGGCTAGCCTGCTCTACAGAGCAAGTTTCAGGACAGCTAAGGCCATACAGAGAAACCCTGTCTCAAAGAGAGAGAGGGAGGGAAGGGAGGGGAGGACAGAGGAGGGGAAGGGGGGAGAGGAGAGGGGAGGAGAGGGGAGGGGAGAAAGACAGACAGGAAGGAAGGGAGGGAGGGAGGGAGGAATAAGAAAGAAAGAAAGAAAGAAAGAAAGAAAGAAAGAAAGAAAGAAAGGAAAGAAGGAAGGAAGGAAGGAAGGAAGGAAGGAAGGAAGGAAGAAAACATAATAACTAGAGTCTCAACTGGAGCCCAGCATGTCTGAACACCCATTTCCATACAGGACTGCTCTTCCTATATCCCCTAACCAGTGGCTGGCAACACTGGGAAGTCATGGCTTTCTGGACGTTTCAGACCTCTCTCCTGTATCCAGCTACTATACCTCATCAGTTCCTCCTTTGACCCTGAGGGGTGGGGACACTGAGAGGCTTGTAGACATATCTCACTTCTCTTTGCCTTGCCTGGGCTCTGCCTAAGTTAGTATCTGGCTCTCTTCCTGTCACCTGTGCCCATGACTCTGTCATTCTTGCCTCACCAGTGTTTGGGGCACCAATGGCTATGGGAGGGACACAAGAATGCAGTGTGTGTCATGCCACATGGTTCATCACTTAAATGAGTGGACTATGTCCCCAGGATGATTCATAGATGCCAAAGGTTGAGTGGTTACAAACAAAGGTATGAACGAAAGAGAATTAAGATAGCTGGAGAAATCATAACACACTCTCTTAGAAGCCAAAGTTAAGCTGTCAAGCACTCCTGGCACTAGGTCAGGAATTTACCATACAAATTACAGTTAAGGACAAAGTATTGGACTAGGCTTGAAATCCATGTCTTTCACAAGGTGCATGATCTTAACCTGTTCTATAAAATGGCAATGATACCACATTGCTGGCTTATCATGATTAATTAATTAATTAATTAATCTGATTGCTGCAAGTTAATCTGTTTACCACAAGTTATAATTTGGATGTTTGGATTTCTTCAAAATTCATATGCAACTCATGTTCAGGACTGGAGAAATGGCTCAGTCGTTAAGAGGGCTTGCTGTTCTACCACAAAAAGCCAAGCTTGGACCCCAGCACCTCATCACAAATGCTGTACCTCCAGCTCTAAGTGTCCCATGTGTCTTTTGGCTTCCACTGTTACCCACACACGAATGTGCACACTCACTTAGATCTCAAAAAAATTTTTTTTAATCTTTAAAATACCTAATCCCTAATGCAATGGTATTAACAGATACATCTTCTGAAGGCAAATACATCTATGGCCTCATGAATGGGGTTAGTGCCCTTCTGAGAGGCCTGGAAACCTGTTTGTCCCTCATTACCCTTCAATCTTTTCTAGCATGTGAAAACACCTTGACAAAGTACCATTTCTGAAGACTGGGCCCTCATCAGAGATTAAATCTGCCAGAGGCTTGCCCTTGGACTTCTCAAACTCCATTGCTGTGAGAAACACATTTCTGTTGATTAAAAATGACCTGTGTAAAGTTATTTTGTAATAGCAGCAGGAACAGGCAAGGGTCTGGCACACAGCGGTACTCAGAGATTTGTCAGCTTTTATTAACATTAAGCCTTCAACAGCTCTCCAAGATGAGGTCAGTCAATTCATTTATTCAATGTAGAGATCAAAGACACTGACCTAAGGTGTACTGTCACAGCCCCGTGCAGCAGACAATCAGAGACTACACATACATATGTACAATGTGTACAAAATGTTCGTGGAGCTGAAGGATGTTGGTTACCTAATTCTACTGCAGCGCCAGCCATTGCCTCCCATGGGAGACTTGGAAAGGAGTTGAAGGGTCAAAGCTACAAATGCAAGAAAACAAGCTGCTGACCTGTCTTCTGGAGAAGGCACTGGTGGACATAACAGAAGGCACTGGCAGATTCAAACTGGTGGGAAGAGGAGAGGACCAGGGATCCAAGTTATGAATAGCTTCTTAAGGCCACCCAGTGGAGGGACTGGACCCTGAAGTGGTGGATACCTACTGTTGGTGTTTAAATAAGAATGGCCCCATTGGGCAGTGGTGGCCAACACCTTTAATCCCAGCACTCGGGAGGCAGAGGCAGGAGGATCTCTGTGAGTTTGAGGCCAGCCTGCTCTACAGAGCAAGTTCCAGGACAGCCAGAGCTGTTAAACATAGAAACCCTGTCTCAAAAACAAATAAACAAACAAACAAACAAACCAAAAAGAATGGCCCCCATAAGCTCACATATTTGAATGCTTGGTTCCCAGCTGGTAGGACTGTTTGGGAAGGATTAGGAATATGACCTTGTTGGAAGAGGTGTGTCACTGGGAGTTTGAAGTTTTAAACACACTTTGAAGTTTTAAAAACTCATGCCATACCAGCTAGCTCTCTCTCTCTCTGCCTCTTGGTTGTTATCTCAATATGTAAGCTCTCAACTCCTTCTCCAGTGTCATGCCCACCTGCCTGCTTGCCTGACTTCCCTGACAGTATTCCCCTTCATACCATACTCCCCACCATGATAGGTATGGACTCTAACCCTCTGAAACTACAAGCAAGCCCCAAAGAAATGATTTTTTTTTTTTTTAGTCATTGTTTCTTAGCATTCAACAAGTAGCTAAGACAGCTCCTGGGATGTAGGAAGTCCAGAGGAAGCTGGGCAGCAGGGACTCCAGGCTCACTGAGAAGGCATCCAAGTAGAGGAAAGTGACCAAGCCTGATAGCAGGCCTCTCACCCCTTCAACCTATCCTATAAACCCTTGGTACATGCCACCCAAATGCTAACTTTCCCACCAACCCTTCGAGCACATGATAAACAGGAGGGTATTGCCTGTGTTTCAAAACTCTAAACTTCCTTCCCGGAGCAACAGCAACCCTAAGGTCTGTGAAAGAAGCTGATCACATTAAGTGAACTTAGTGTTTAATAAAGAAACGGAGGCCATTCGTATATTGTCTTAAAACCAGGTTGTTTATTGGTACGTACACACCCACTCACACCCACACACACCCACACACACATTCACACACACACTCCTGAAGCACTGAGCCAATACAGTACTGAGAAGGGACCTGGTGAGACACAAGAGGCTGGCTAGGAGAGCTTGGGTCACTGGTGACTCTCCAGGGGGAAAAAAAAAATATTGACCATGAGGCAAGGGACACACCATGACAGCAGGCTTCCTTCCATCACTGCATGCAGATCCCCTACTCCACCCTCCCTGCTGACCCTGAATGCACCTGGCTTCCCAGTTGCTACCGATGACATCGAAAATCATGACAGGGTCCCATGGTAGAGGAGGGGCAGGGCTGACTCTCCCACTTAGCGAGCCCATAGAGAGTCCCTAGGAGTCAGATGGTGCTGTCATGCTCAACTCCTCCCATCTCAGGATGCTGGTTCTTCTCTGTGACTCCAGCACTCGGGATTGGGGGTTCTTCCTCTCTAACCAATTCATGCTCTACTCAGTTGTTTCTCGTCTCCATCCCCAGCAGCCTGACTGGTGGGGAAGCAGAAACAATGGGACCAAGGACAGGTAGTTGCCTGCCCCAGGCCTGCTGAACCCATTCAGTCACCCAATTGCTCAAGCTTTCCTCTACCGGACAGCAACACAAAGCTCTCAGTCCTTTTCAGACAAGGAGTTCTGGCTCAGTTCTCCACCTGCTAGCCTAGCCCCTGATTCAGAATCCCAGTAGAAGAGATGGCAAACCCAGTAGAAGAGATGCTACTCTGCTCACCTACAGGACGGCACTGCACTGCCTGTCTCCAACAAACACAACCCAGGCACTTCTTTCCTCTTCCATGTAGTGTCAGGTTCTATCGACCCACCCTGATATGAGGTCCTGAGCTTTCCTAAGGCTAAGGAATGGGTCTGGAAGAGGAGGTGATTGACATTCCTCATAAATCTGCCCTGCCCCCACCATGCTGCCAGGAAAAGCAATTAAAATAGTGGAGAGAGAGGAGAAATCAAGAATTTCTTGAGCTGGCCCCAAAAGAACCCTAAAGGGGGATTAGACGGCATGAGGACTCCAAAGGGAGACTGCCTCAACTCACATTAGATATCTTGGATCTGGGACATGATTCATTAAAGGGGACACCCCCCCCACCTTTCAGAGCAGAGTCAACAGTTCATAATCTGTTGCACTCAGTCCAGTAGCAGCTCCAGGTGTCTGGTTGCATTCCCGCTGCCCTTTGGGCTTAGGTAGTAAGGCCATCCAAGCTCTCTCTAGTTTACCTGACTGTACCTCCCACTGAGTAAGAGGCCCTCACCCTTGGCCCAAAGCTCTGGGGCTCCTTTCTCCCACATATTTGGGATTCTGCATCAATTTGCCCTCAGAGTTTCTACCTTAGTCTTCCTCAGTTCCCCTCCTGGCTTGTCCTGGAGGCACTCAGGTATCTCTACACACCTCATCGCTCCTAAGCAAGACTTGGAGGCAGGAGTCACAGACACTGGTGATGGGGTTTGGGGAAGAAGGGGTGATACTATGAAAGGGGGTACCAAAACCACTCAGACCATCCAGCACAGCCAGAGTGGAGGGGATCAGAAGGCCAATTAGTCCAAGCAGAACTGTGTCCGAAATGGCCTTTTATTGGAAGGGCCATCTCAGTCCTTGGTCTGGGATTGCGAGCCTGATGAACCCGTAGTCCAGACCAAACTAGGTCCAGAAGAGGGAAGGTGGTGACACACTCACTCAGCGTTGCCCTTCTCTCCTTCCAACAGAATCTCAAGCACCAACAACCTGGGTGCCGCCACACACAGAAGACCTTGGCCACATCCACCAGAGACTTACAAAAAGAACACGAAGTAGGACTCGGATAGTAGGATGCCAAGGGAGTGGATGAGCATATTCTGAGATCCCAGGCAACTGGAAAGTCACAGAGGTGAGACTGGGAGCCAAGGGAGAAAGGGAACGAGCAGGAGGGGTCAGGGCCGGCTGAGCCTTCGAAACCAGGACACCCACCCTGGGGGGCCGTGGCTAGTCCCGGAAGGCGGAGAGCATGTGTCCGTAGAGATAGTGGGAGTGTGCTAAGAGAGAAGAGAGAAACAGGTTCTGTAAGTGGAGGTGGTCCCCCGGGCATGCTGCGGGTAGGTGCGGCATGCGGCCAAGCACTAAGCGAAGCAGGAAGGGCAAGCCGGGCGGTGCTGCAGCGA